TACAAAATCAAGAAATCAGTCAAATAACTCAATATGCTGAATGGAAGGTAGAAATTCAATTCTATCCTCTTCTTAGAACTTTCCTTAATCAAAATAGGAACCCTAGGTAGCCTCCAAGAATGTCCTTCAGTTCTGAATCATCTAGGATGCATGAACCCCTTAGAATCTCTTTCTCCTCTGTGCCACAGACAGAAGCTGAAAAAGAAAAGGGTAGTAAGGATGTTGTCATAGAAGGACTTGATCAGCTTAAGAATCAATAAATTGTCCAACCTACCTATAAGGTAGGAAATCCTTCAATACAAAATGATAAAGATTCTGATGGTTCCCAAGGACCAACTTTTTCTGACATGGGATACAGCTCCAATATCCCTGAAGGATCTGTTAATATGCTTGAAGTTGAAAATTTCGAAATCAATTACAAACTCTTAAGGCAAGATTTTTACTCTGAAGAAAATAGAGAAATAAGAGAATGGTTTCTTAAACATAGCAAACCCCTTAAGAAATTCCTTGATGACGAATATATCAGGACTATGATAAAGAACAAAATTAATATAAGGTTCTTTACCTAGTTGAAGTATTATATGGACTCAAAAGGGAAAACATTTCCTGATAACTTGTATACTCCTAAAAATAAGAATCCTGCAACCATTGCCATCCTTACAAAAATATATAAAACTTGCAAAACTCCAAATGGAGAACAAGAAAGTATCCATCCTCCTGAAACGACCGTTGATTTACCTAAATCTAGAACCGTTCCTTATAAGCAGATCTATACCCCTAAAGATGAGGGGATGTTATAGAGACCCGCAAATTTAGAAAGTCTGAATCATCATCTAATTGAACAAAATAATTATACTAACCTATTCCTACAAAGTATAAGTCAACAAAGCACAAGAATAGAAGAAAGCCTAAATAATAGGCCCTCTACCTCAGCACAAATCCAGCCTCCTAATGAAAAGGAGAAACTTAAACCTGTCTTGTTTAAACCTGCTATTCCTCTTTCTAATAAAACCTTTAAACTTGGACCAACTCTCAAAGAAGAAAATGAATTCTTTGATGAATTAGTTAACATGCTTGCTACCCTTAAAATAAGTGTGAAAAGAGCAAAGATAAAGATCCAGCTGCAAATATGCTTGAAGATATTAGCAATGAAGAAATCCTTAAACTTGAGGATATGTTTAAGAATCCTGATCAACCTAACCAAATCAATAGAATAAACTATAGAACAAAGACTTGGCCTACTGCTACTTCAAAAATGTATTATCCTAGGCCTTCCCCTCTTCATCTTCAATATGAAGAAGATATATTCTCAATATGATGGGAGGTCTATAGTTGAATGGAATATTGATGCTCTGTCAGAATATCAAAAGATGAATTTAATTAAGCATATGATTATGTACGCTCAAGCATATGCTAATCACAAAATAGAGACCCCGACATTGCTAGATCCATAATCAATACGTTTACAGGGCAACTAAAAGGATGGTGGGACTTCTATTTACGAGATGATGAAAGAAATACCACCGTCTATAATTAGGGTGTCAAGCAAGAAATACCTTCTCAGGATGATGATTGTGTCAATACACTAATTTATCCTATTGCCCTACACTTCATAGGAGATACCTCTATCTGGAATGAAAGAACCAGAGAACTTTTGGAAAACCTCAAATGTCTTGACCTTTCTCATTATAGATGGTACAAAGGTGTTTTCCCTACTCAATTACTTACCAAAAATGATGATAGAGATATACATTGGAAGTCTCAATTCTTGAATGGACTCCCAGCTCTATTTAGAGAGAAGGTTAAGACTAAGCTTAAAAATGCTAATGGAGGAAAAGAAATCCCCTATGAGAATTATACTCTTGGCCAGCTTGATAATGAAATTTGCGCTACTGGTTTAGAACTTTGTACTGACCTCAAGCTTAAAAGACAACTTGAAAAACAAAAGATCACTGGCAAAAGAGAAATGGGAGACTTTTGTGAACAATTTGGTTATTATCCTTTTCCTGAAAAAACTCACTCCAAAAACTATAAGAATGACTCTAAAAGAAGTGAGTATAAGAAAAACAGAAAATATCATAGAAAACAAAAAAGGAAAATATTCAACTCAAGTAAGGAAGATCCTGAACCCAAGAATAGGAAACCAAAAAGAAAAATATCTATTTGTAAAAAATGTGGCCGTTATGGGCATTATGCAAATAGGTGTAGGACAAAACAAAAAATTAATGAAAACTCTGATGAAGGTCTCAGAAGACAACTAGAGCAAATCCTCCTTCGAGGAGACTCTTCTGATGAAGACTTATCTATTTATGAGACAGACTCAGAAGATGAAGTTGTTGACATCGATACTGAAACTTCTAATACTAGTGAGGCTGAAGAGGATTGTAAATGTGATCATTATAAAGCCTTGTTAAACATGCAAGTTCTTAGTCGTAATGTACTCTCTGAAGAACAAAATTTGGTATTAGATATAATTGACAAAAGCATTGACCCACTTGAAAAAAGGGATGCACTTGTTAAATATCTTGCTAAAGAAAAGACTGAAAGTCAAGTCTTGAAACCTACTTATGATCTCTCGAAGTGTGCTTAAGTTTGAAGTTTGCTTAGCCTTCTTTCCTACTCTCTATTCTCTCTCTCTTTCTCTAAAAAGATTGTAAAAGTTTTAGAGTGTGTTGGTGTGCTGGTGTATCTAATTTTATGTAAGTATTCCAATACTTTTTATTAATAAGTTGATGTTTTTATCTTAATCTGTTATTTTATTTCTTATGTTTTGTTAATTCCATTCTGTTATTTTACTTGTTATGTTTTGTTAATCCCATTCCTTGTTAATTCAACATTGGTTCTGCCATCTAGTGTGCCTATTTATTAATGCAAATGATGGCGTATGTATTATATATAACGTTTTACGAAGTGAAAGGTTAGATATAAAATAATGCATGAGTGGGGCATTGAACCCTGGACGTCTCTCTCCCCATCGACTTAAAAAGGCACAAGCTATTGTCTCGGTCACTTACGATGTGTTTATTTTTTGGAATTATTATATATAAACTGCTTATAGAGTAATACACTGTATGGGCATAAACAGATTTTTAGCCCCAAGTACTAGACAGCCTAACACGCACTAAATATCGACACCTTGTCGATGTCATGTAAAACAGCTTTTGAATACTTCTAGTAATGCCAATGCTTCTGCCACAGTGGAGCCCTGTGTGTCCTATATACCTCGAAAAGGATAGTAGCATGTTTCCAAAGCTATCCCTGAAGATCCACCAAAACCACTAGGCCCTGGGGTTCGTAGTGAACAACCATCTACATTTAGCTTGATTGAGCCAGCATTTGGTGGTCTTGACTGCGGATTATTGGGCCTGTGGGTGATTATATTGTACCAGTTTGAGTCAAAGTCACTCCCAGTGAAACATTCCATACGCCTGTAATTGTTTGTCCAAAAGGAAGTGATGTCCCTAATATGTTGTGCAATAGCAGAGGTAATTTACTTCTTTTTCCTCAAAAGTTCTTTGATTTCTTTCTAACCAAAGTGCCAAATTGTGGATTGAGCCTCTCCAATATGATGGAGAGAAAAGGCCCTTGAATAATTTTTTGGGTGGTGGCAGGGATCATCCATGTCCACTGGAAATCCTTCAGTAGATTTCCCCATAGCTGGACTGCAACCGGGCAATGTATATATAGGTGTGCATGGGATTCTTTAGCACTTTCTGCAAAGTATGTGTCTATTAGGTTGGGAAAAGCCCCTTCTTCGCAGTTGGTCAGCAGTGAGCGTATGATCGGCAATGATTTGGAGAAGATAGTGTCCAAAAACTTGAGGATGACATGAGTGAGTGAAATAAAAATTTCTGAGGTTTACTGATTTAGCGTTTGATGGAGTGGAGATTTGAGATTGAAGGAGAAAGGAGAAAGTAAACAGAAAATTGGATAGAGTGATAATATGAACAAATATTTGCTAATATTTAGGGTTTATGAGTTTGAGAGAATTGTGAATATGGTGGACGATGATTGCCAACTTGTAAGAGAGAGTACAGAAGTGGGGAATTGAAAAGAGACGATTGAAGCAGTTGTTAAAGAAGTAAATGGAAGAAAGATAAGGAAAACCCAATTCAGCTCTATAGAGATAAAGAGAGAAAAAAGGAAAGGAAATGAATTGGGAATCAGCTTCGAGCCTAGAGAGGGAGAGAAATTGAAGGGGGGAAGAACCCACTTCAGAGAGTGAAAGTAAAATGTTCAATAAAATCTAGAGTGGAAATACTGGAAGAGATGCTAGGAATTGAGACTTACCAGGTTAGAGCTTGAGGAAGCTCTGATACCATGTGAAAATTGGGGGACAAAGAGACCCAATACCCCGTCCCGTCTATTACTTTCCACACTTCACTTACGAATACAGCCAGCAGCACTCACACACACACTCAAACAAGCATCCACACACACACACGAGAGATATGTATTGCAATTTACTAAATTACCCTTAAGGGCAAACTAGTAGTAGAATAAATGCAATAAAGAATGATAACTCTAGATGTGTAACTTAGAAATGGCCATTCTGTAATTCCGAGAGAATTATTGATGGACTTTGATTTTCAGCTTTTCTACACCGTGAGTTATGTTCTTTCTCCCGCTACCGGATGAAATCCACCCTTCTGCTTATTGTTATCTTCCTAAAAATGGTGATGAAAATATTGAAATTTTGAGCGCTTTTCGTGGATGCAGAGGTAGACTGGTTAGTCTTGGAGATGTTGCCTCAGGGGCATCTCTTGACCCATGTTAAGCTTTTGTGTTCTTTGTTCTTTGACCTTTTATTTATTGAAAAATTCCTTATCAAACAATGTTTACTGGTTCAGCACCTTAACATGATCAAAAAGCTTGTATCTTGCTCACTTAGTTTAAATGTGCATTTGTGTTATATTTGTTGACTTTGCTTTCCCATATAGTGTTGGTACGTGTTCTTGAAATCTTGAGATGTTGTCTGTGTTTCCATCCTTGTGCCGCAGAAAGAAGATTTTTGAATGCATGGAATGGAATGGTGCTGTTAGGATAATTGTCTCGTGACCTGCTTGCTGCTATTGAGTTATTAGTTGATCAGTTGGCAAGAAAGATTTTTCAGAATGAAGTTCAAGATCGATGAACTCACCGTCTACTTCCCCTATGAGCACATATACCCAGAGCAGTATGAGTACATGGTCGAGCTGAAGCATGCCCTTGATGCAAAGGGCCACTGCCTCCTCGAGATGCCCACAGGCACTGGAAAGACCATCACCCTCCTCTCCCTCATCACATCCTATCTCCTTTCATCTAACCAATCCAATGGCATCAAGAAGCTCATCTACTGCACCCGCACCGTCCATGAGATGGAGAAGGTCCTGGCTGAGCTGCGCCTCCTCCATGAGTTCCAGCTCTCTCAGCTTGGCCCCTCTGCACGCCTGCTCGCCCTCGGTCTTAGCTCCCGAAAGAACCTTTGCATAAATCCTTCCGTCAACTCTGCCTCCTCTCGTGACAGCGTTGATGCCGGCTGCCGCAAGCTCACTGCATCCTGGGTGCGCGCCCTCGCTGCTGACAACCCCAACATCCCCATGTGCCAATTTTACGAGAAATATGACAGAGAAGCATCATCCTCGGAAGGTGTTCTCTTGCCCCCCGGGGTTTACACCCTCCAGGACCTTCGTGCCTATGGAAGGGAGAAGGGGTGGTGCCCATACTTCTTGGCGCGCCATATGATCCGCTTCGCAAATGTGGTGGTGTACAACTATCAGTACCTGCTGGACCCAAAGGTGGCAGGGATCATATCTCGGGAGATGCAGAGGGAGTGCATTGTTGTGTTTGATGAGGCCCATAACATCGACAATGTGTGCATTGAGGCTCTCAGCGTCAATATCAGGCAGCAGACTCTTGATGGTGCCACCCGGAACCTCAAGAAGATTGCCCAAACCATTGAAAAGTGCGTAATGTCTGTAACTGTTTGATAATTTGTTTTGTTTTTCTCACAAATGCATATGAGGGAAGTTACAAATATCAGTTTGAATAATGTATGAAGTATGAACAATTGATTTGTTATGAAGGTTCAAGGCTACAGATGCAAATAGGTTGCGCTCTGAGTATAATAGGCTTGTGGAGGGTTTGGCACACAGAGGGAATTTGCCTGGTATGTATAATCACCCAGACATTGTTGTGCTTTCTTTCCATTTAATTATATTCTTCTAGAATGTCATGATATAATGATGGTTTTACATGTCTATGTATGTTGTTTGAAGTCACGGACTCCTGGCTTTCCAACCCTGTTTTGCCCGAGGACATTCTGAGGGAGGCTGTGCCTGGGAGTATTCGGAAAGCCGAGCATTTTCTAGGTGTTTTAAGGAGGCTCGTACAATATTTGGATGGCCGTTTGCAAACTGAGAATGTGGAGACTGAAGGGCCAGTGGCTTTTGTGGCCTCAATAAGCACCCAAGCTGGGATTGATCAGAAAATACTGAAATTTTGCTATGATCGTTTGCATTCCCTTCTTTTGACGCTTGAAATTGCTGAGACTGATGAATTCTTACATATCCAAACTGTTTGTGATTTCGCTACATTAGTTGCCACCTACTCACACGGGTTTTCCATCATAATTGAACCTTTTGATGAGAGGATGCCACATGTACCAGATCCGATATTACAGGTAAGTGAGGCTGATTAATCCTATATGTGGAGATGCTTTTTTCCATGCATTCATCCGAGTTTCATGTATTTTTGTGTATGTGTGTGTGTGTGTATGCATTCCCATGACCAGCTTTCTATTGTCAATTTGTTTGTGTTGTCCAGCTTAGCTGCCTCGATGCATCACTTGCGATAAAGCCTGTTTTTGAACGGTTCCAGTCCGTTGTAATAACTTCAGGGACTCTGAGCCCCGTTGATTTATATCCTCGTCTTCTGAAATTCAACCCTGTTGTTAGTCAGAGTTTCACAATGTCTCTAACAAGGGATTGCCTATGTCCGATGGTTCTGACACGTGGAAGGTACTCTATAGATGCCATACAATAAATATCATGGCACAAAGAAAATCCTACTTCGTCTGTATAATAATGAAGTTAAGTTCACAATTTAGATTTAGGGATATATGTGATAACATTTGTATCTTCTGTAGATAATTTTTCTAGTGGACTACTTGACCCTAAGTTCAATAATCAAATACATTAACTTCAAATTTGAGGAACCCTTCTACAAGTCTAATAAGAGACATTTGATATCGAATACTTAAATTGGTTCTAGGTCGATAAAGCACAAGATGCCGTTGATATAGAAAACTTGTCCTATGGGGCTTCGTACTTGACTCCATAGAGTTACAAATCTCGATTATCAGTTGGGATCAAGATCGATTCTAAACTAAAATGAATCCCTATTCCAAACTGGCATGAATATCAGCTTCACATACATCAGAAACTCGACTCCAAATATGTTGGAATCTCGATTCCAAACTGGTGCAAATATCGGTTCGACATACGTTGGAAACTCGATTCCTAAGATTTCAGAATCTTGATTCCTTGGGGGTCGATTTCAAGGAGGTAGGAATCTCAATTTCAAGGAGGTCAGAATCTTGATTCCATACGTGGTGGAATCTCGATTTCATTTTGGGCAATTCTCGAAACCCAAAAATAGGAATCTTGCTCCCCGCGATTCTACGGATGTCGATTCTGAAAACAGGAATCTTCTAGCCAACCACGATTCCGCAATTCTGATTCCTAACACAATTCGGGTTCCTAGGCATTTCCAACAACTATGTTTGTATGTACCTTGATTGTATCTTATTCGGAACATAAATGCGTACTCATGTCTCTTTTCACTTGACTATTTACTAGATTACTATGGAAATGTGTATTTGATATCGCCCATAATATATCTTCTGTAATACTCTGTCAGTTGGAGGGAAGGAGGCCAAGGTTTTGTAAAAACAATGCCATCAACAGTGCCTTGCAGTCTGTAACTTTGTTTTAACTTCATCTTCTCTTTTTACATACTTCTCCTATTGTGTAAATGGTACTGAATTTTATATCAGTTTTACTTCCTTAATACAATACAGTCGCTCATTGTCGCCCCCCCCCCAAAAAAAAAAAAAATGGAAGGAAAGAAAAAGAGGACACTTGTGTCTCCTTTTACACAAGTATTTAATATGAAAGCACTATTTTTCTTCTATGTCATGCCAGAACCCAAAATTGTGGTTCGTATGGAAGCTCTTAATTTGAGATGCCCATTAAAATCAAAACTATTCAACAAGAAAGTGTTTGCACATGGTACCTTTCATTTTGCACGGCAATGTACATTTGTTACAGAATCTCTTGGTTACAAACATGATATTGAACCTTGTTCAAGTATTTCCTGTTGTGGTTTGGTTTATTCCTAAATAAATGTTTGCCGGGTGTATTTCAGCGATCAACTTCCAGTAAGTACAAAGTTTGATATGCGAAGTGATCCTGGTGTAGTTAGGAACTATGGGAGGCTGTTGTTGGAGATGGTGGCTGCTGTACCAGATGGCATTGTTTGTTTCTTTGTCAGCTACTCTTATATGGATGGCATAGTTAATAGCTGGAATGAAATGGGTATTTTACAGGTGAGGATTTGTTGTCATTGTTGTTATATTGTTGTTCTTCTTGTTGTTGCTGCTGTTGTTGCCAGCTGCTTTGCTATGGAATTGCAATTCTGTTAGTTATTTATTTATTTCAAAGAAATCACCTTGCAGAATAACAAATATATGTGGTTATGTGCTTAGTCTTTTTTTTTAATATACTCCTATATTCATTCTTGGGTGTAGGATGCAATGCTGCTGCTGCAGCTGTTGTTGTTGTTGTTGCTCTGATACCTATAAATGTATTTGTTCCTATCAATGTCCATTCAACTGATCCTTTCATGATGTAAAAACTTTTAAGTTCGAAAAAATATGGAATTGCAATTTTATTATTTATTTTTTTATTTCAAAGAAATCACCTTTTGCAGAATAACAAATATATTTGGTTCTGTGTGTAATCTTATATCTAATATACTCCTATGTTCATTCTTGGGTGTAGGATGTAATGCAGCATAAGCTTGTCTTTATTGAGACACAAGATGTAGTAGAAACTACTTTGGCTTTAGATAACTATCGCAAGGCTTGTGACTGCGGTAGGGGAGCAGTCTTTTTCTCTGTCGCCAGGTACATCTTGTGATGTGGAACTTTGGACATACTTTTATCTGAGATGCTTCTCGATTTGAATGATCTGGGCTCACTTGTCTGATTATTAAATTCCATTTTGTTATCTCTCTCTTCTTCTTCTTTTTTAAAATATGTTTAACTGTTGTATTAAGTAAAGAAAGTACAAGCGAGAGAGATTAGGCACCCTACAGATGAGGGGCCCTTCCAAAAAATGTGAGCCCTTAAAAGGGCAACCAAAAAGTGCTATACAGTATCAACTAATAGATACAACATGGGCACTCCGTGCTCAAAAGGGTGCTAGAGAGTCCCCTCGGGATCGTGCAGCGAGTTTTGTCAGCTATGTAGCTCGCTCTTTAGCTAGGGAATCAGTGGCTGTGTTGGCTTCCCACGAAATATGCATCCAAGAGACATGAATAGCCCTGAAAAGTTGGGAAATTGCATCATAAATATGTTCAAAGCTCCATGGGAAAGGGGAGGATCGTGATCCCCATGCATCCAACATTTTTGAAGTTCCCCTCAATGACCGTGATAGGACTCCAGGATGGATTGAAAGATTTAAGGCCTTTGAGGAGGGACGCAGCATCAACAGTATTGGAGTCTTCGAAACCGTTGGGTCGAGAGTAGGAAAACAGCGTTCGCCCGTCCTTGTCTCTAAAGAGGCTCCCTATGCCTGCAGGTCCCAGGTTACCTAGAGAACACCAGTCGAAATTAAGCTTAATCTGGCCAGAATCAGGTGGCCTCCAAAGGAACAAGCGAGGTACCTGAGTGGATTGCGAATGCAATTGTGCCTGCCAGTTCTGGTAGAAGTCAGAAGAAGATGAATTCCTGAAATGTTTGTTGTTTTTGGCCCAAAAGATGATAGAGGTTCTAATTTGATCTTTGAGAGCCCCAATTGAGCGGTACTCCTCTTGAAAAATCCTCCAGTTTCTCTCTTTTTAGATGATCCGCAACATAGTTACCGAGAACAGGAGCAACAAGAGCTCTAGGATCGGGAGCGGGTGCGTGGAGCGAGGTAGGCTCCATGCTCGAGGGAACGAGGTCTGTACAGGGTCAGGTATAGGAATCAAGATCCCTAACTATTTTGGAGCATATTCCATATCTGCAAAGGAGCGAATTCCTTAGTAAATGGGATTGTGCACTGGCATGTCTAAGATTGAGGTTCCTGAAGTTCAGTTATCCACTACATTGTAATTAGGGACCGAATTCCATTGAGCAAGAAAAATGGAAATACATTGCCATATATAGTTCCCAATAGCTTTCCTCTATCAAAGATTGCTAAGGGCTTAATGACATATATACAAGAGAGACCTCGCATTATCCAGGCATATACGTTATTCCATCACCCATAAAGCCACCCTGTGAGTGGATCAATTTGATTGACTTGCACTCAAGCGATAGAAGTCCTTCAGGAGGTGGACAAGACCTAATGAACTAGCCCAAGGAAGTTAAGTGTATTGATCACGACCTCAATTCTCACTAGAACTCGCGACTAACTTTATCTCTTTCCAACTACTTCCTTCTCTCTCCCTGCTCTCTCTTGTTGCCTTTCTTTGAAATTATATACAAGCCACAATTCATAAGGCGTGTAAAGTTATGAGTTGCAAAATACATAGGAAATCATGGTATTCAGAAAGTTTATAGGTCATAAAAAATTGGAGATCACTACTTCGTTATATACAAACCAAGAAACTTGGCGATGAAACTCAATCTCAAAGTAGAGGATACTCGATTGCAAGTTGGTAAAATCGCGGTTTCGCTGAATCATAGAACCTTGATTTTGGGTATAGGGACCAGGATCCCATTACATGGGATCGAGTTCCCTGATTCCCTGGAATCGAGATCCCAAATATCATGGAATCGCCCAAAGTCGAGATCCCGTGTTACGGACTGTGGGATTAAGCTTCCAGAGCAGAAATGACCCCCTCCTTAGAGGATTCTGGTAACTATGTAGACCCCCTCCCCCAGGATTCTGTTGGCTAGGAATTGGACTCTTTGGGGGTTCGTCATGATGCCTGTCATGGTCATTTTGGCCATGTTGACTCGAAAGCTCGTGGCCATCTCGAAGCATTTAAGGAACAATAACAGAGAGTCACTCTGTTGGGGCTTGGCTTCGCAAAACAAGAGCGTGTCATCCGCGTATTGCTGATGAAAGATCTCAAGACCTTGGCGGCCAATTTTGAAACCTGAGAGAACGTCGTTACTGTACAACCTCGAGATGGAGTGGCTGAAGACCTCTAATGCAATCATGAACAAGAAAGGCAAGAGAGGGTCTCTCTGCCTTAGACCCTTAGAGGATGGGAAGAAGCCCTTAGGGATCCATTAAGAAGAATGGAGAAGAAAGCGTTAGAGACACAACCCTAGATCTAGGTTTGCCAATGAAGCCCAAAGCCCATTCTGGCGTGGGCCCAATTGAGTATGGACTAGTTCACATGGTCGTACGCCTTTTCCCAATCCAATTTGATGACCAACCCCCGGATATTTGCAAGGTGCCTAGAGTGAATGCACTTGTGGGCCACCAAAGCTCCTTCAAGAAGTTGATGGTTTAAATGAAGGCCCCCACATAGAGGGAGTTGGCCCAATGAAGAACTTCTTTGAGTCTAGAGACCAGAACATTGGACAAAAATTTATAGTAAGAGTTGACCAAACTAATAGGTCTGAAATCTTTGAGCTCTTCCGCTTGTTCGATTTTGTGAATCAAGGCGATGAACGTGGCATTCATGGCTTTGTGAATGATCCTCGAGAGTAGAATTCTTCGAAAAGGGCTTGAACATCAACTTTGAGTGAGGCACAAAAAATCTTGAACAGGGCCACGGGGTACTCATCCGGCCCTGGGACACGATTTTGACTGAGGTCGTTGATGGCATTAAAGATTTCATCCTCAGAGAAGGGCTGTTCAAGCCAGTCAACTTGTTCTTGGGGAATGGAGCGGAAAGAGAGATTCACCATGTTAGGTCTGGGATTGTAGGGTTGGGTGAACAGGTTATGAAAGAAGACTATGATGGCTCTCTCCACCAGTGGGGGCTGGTCCAAGACTAGTTTGCCACTTTGGTTGTGTTGTCCCTTTGGCGACAATTTGCAATTTTATGGAAGAATGTTGTGTTTAGGTCGCCGTGTTTAAGTCATTTGACTCTGAAGTGCTGTGACTAGAGTTTATTCCTTTCAAAGGACTTCATGGAAGGAGATCTTGCTTTGCGTATGAAGATTGTGTTCCTTGGATGATAGAACGCAACTCTCCTTGATAGTATGCCAATGCTGGATTGATCAATGTAGGGTATCCTTCTGGCCCCTGAAGTTTCCAAGGAGCTGAATGACCCAGTTCTTAAGAGAGCCTTTCAGTAGTTGATGCTTATGCTACAGGTGGAACCCTGCTCTGCCTTGGACCTGGGGGCAGAAAGACCCCCACCAAGATGGGATGAGTGAAAGAATGTCGGGCTCTTCGAGCCAAGCTAGTTTCAACCGGAAAGGCTTAGGGCCTCAGAGTGCCGGTTGGGTATCCAAAAGAATGGCCGGTGGTATGAGGTGGGTTTGGGGAGAGCTAGGGCATTGGTTCCAGGGAATTGGGAATTCTAGGCGAGGGAAATGAGAGATACCTATTGAGTTTAGAGAGGGAGGGGTTATGAGAGTGGTTAGCTCAGGTAAAGACAACCCCTTGGAGGGGGATGTCAGGGAGGTGGTTTTTAGACACGAATTAGAGAACTGGACCCTGGAGGGAGTGATGGAGGGAATGGAGTTGCATTTGAAAGACCACCTAGTTACATTGAAATCCCCTCCTATGCACCAGATTGGATGAGGAAGAGAGGGAATGAGGTCCAGTTCTTGCTAAAAAATAGTCTCTGTGGGAGTTTGCATTTGGGCCATACATTGCTGTGAATTTTCAGAGAAGGCCATTTGAGGTTATTGAGAAGGCGGCGGTAACTGTGAAGGTTCCCACATGCGATGAGGTAAGGGAGTGAATAGTTGGGTCCCGGATAACCCAAATTCCTCCCGAGGTCCTTGAGAAGGCAGGGTGAGTTAGTTGCACGGTCTAGATCCCCAAACTTGGCGAATTAAGGGGTGGGTGGGTTCATGGACCATGATCTCGACAAGGGCTAGGACAGTTGGAGGGAGAGAGGCACAAAAACTATGGGTTGTCCTTCGTTTCACGGAGTTGTCTAGGTCCTGGATGTTCCAAGTGAGGAGTTTCATGTGGCAAGTGGGGAGTGGGTGACGCTTATAGGGGAGCATCGAGAGGACTGACTTGCTGGGGTGGCAGTGTCAGAGGTAGGATTGGAGCGGGTTGTGGCCTCTCTCGTCACCATTGATCCCGAATTCTAAATTTGTGAGTTCTTTCTTTCCCTTGGGACTTACTTTGCATCTAGTTTGGGCATTAGCGGTGATGAACGCCTCGATAGCTTCTTTGGGCCCCATTATATTGGAAGCCTATGACCTTTAACATTGTTAGGAGATCACCTTGGGCCTTGTCCATATTCTCCACAAAGAGGGAGTCCACCAAAGGAGGAGAGGCCGACAACGTACTCTTTGCTAAGTCTTAGGGGGGATGGCAGATTCTGGGAGAACAAGGGGAGGAGGGGGGGGGGGGACGAAGTGGTAGGATAGCCTTCGTAGCAGGGCCTTGTCTTTGTCCATAGGGTGAGTTTGAAAAACGAAAGAGAAGGGGGGGGGAGGGGGGGGGGAGAATAGGTCCGTGAGGTTGGGGTAGGGGGATGGTGGGGATAGGGGGTTAGTGATGGGGGCCATAGCGGGGGGAAAGAAGACAAAATGGTAAGATTGAGAGGGAGGGATAGATCCAAGGTAGTAAGGTGCAGGTTGAAGCCAGATGAGAAGGGGTGAGGTAGCTAGGAAAAGATGGTGGTAGAGTTCCAAGGGTGGGGAGAGGACCAGAGGAATGGTGGTGTTGCCACCAAGAATTTTGGGGGTGGGGGGAGGGGGTAGGCTAGGGGGAAAGGAGATTGTAGCACACCCATGCGAATGGGGGGAAAACAGGAGAGGGAGGAGTTGAGTTGTAGAAGCCGACAGGGGCCATGCCCAAGAGGGCAGGGCTAGGAGTGGAAAGACCAAGGATCAGAGAAAAAGGGGCTTCAGAGTAGGGGATGAGGGCCATGGTGGTGGGAGGTGAAGGTGAGAGGGTGCAAGCTGGAGAACAGGGAGGAGACGATGTGGAGGAAAGTAGTGAAGGATTAGCCGGTTTAAGGGAAAGGAAGGGGGAATGAGGGTAACTGGGTGCGTGGGTGGGTGGGGGGGGGAGAGAGAGGAGAAAGGGGCAGGTTTCAGAGAAGGTGGCGAAGGGGAGGGAGGAGAGAGAAGGAAAAAGTCGAGGGGAGGGAAGGTAGCTTTGTTGCGTAGATGTTGATGGTAGGCAGCCAGGAGAGGTGAGGGCGGTAAAGGTGCTAGCGAGGGGGTGTGTTGTTGCGGGCGCAGGTGGTGGAGAAACATTGGGGGAGGTGGAGGAGAGGATTAGGCAACATTGTTCCGTCAATACTAGAGAATGGCTGTTAGGAGAGGCGAGGGAGGATGAGACGCTGGCAAGGCGGTGATTTGCTATGGCCACGGAGATGGTGAGACGCCAGGGGACATAGGGGGGGAAGAAGAGAGAGGTGATGATGGAAAGTTCAACCCAGTAATCCAACCCTACTGGGTTGAGCGGATGGGGGCGAGGAAATGTGAGGGTTGGGATTTGCAAGGGATGGGTTCTTGCCATCTGGGTGGAGTCATGGGCGCTGGGTTTGGGGGATGAAGCAAGGAGAGGGGCAAAAAGCAGGTGCAGGAGGAAGAGGGAGGGGTAAAGGATGGGGCCAAATCCTGGCCTCGGGATGGGGTTCTAGGTTGACGAAGTGGCTAAAAGGGGATGGACCACCTGGCAAGGTGGACGGTGATGAGGGGAGGGACAACTGGCGAAGTGATGGGGAATGCAGAGGGGTAGGGGGCGGGACTTCAGTCATGTGGGTTGAGGGGCAAGAGGGTGGCATGTTGCTCATGGAATGGGTGGCTGGGGAAGGGTGAGGGGGCGAGGTGTCATGCTGAGGGAAAGGGGTACAAGAGGTGAGGGTGGCACTCCTGAGGGGCGGGTAGTTTGGATTGGGGTGGTGGAAAAATAACGTGGCCCTGGAAAGCTGGTTGGGCCACGTCACGAGGAGAGGAGTGGGCATGCACGTGATGGGGTAAGGAGTTAGGGGCTAGAGGCAGGGGCTGTTCGATCGTTGGCCATCTGCGCACTCGATCAAGGAGGCAAGGGATCCATCACGGCGCTGCGATATGACCTTGGACGACGATGAGGCGCCCATCCGCATCTCGTGTCTTACTGTGGTCCACTCATTGTGGACCACCGAAACTTGGTGGTCTGGTCTCATGATCACTCGGGCAGTGGAATCGTGGTCCTGGAAATGGCGCAATGAGGGAGAGGAAGCCGCGAACCAGGAGATATGGGTTCGATAGTATTGACCCTCGATCTCTAGCCAGAGAAAAGGAGGGATGAGTTTGGGATTCAGGGATTCCATGAGTAGCAGATTAGAACCAAGAGGTAGGAATTCGGAGGACTTCCAATAGATGGAGATGAATGGCCCACAATGGTTACTGATGAGCTTGAAAATTTCTGGGTGGCAAGTGTGAAGGGAAATGTGGGAAACTTGAAGCCAGATTTTCTCAGAGAAACGCCCTGCAGTCCTTGCTCCATTTGGAAGGAGAAAGAGAGGTCCCTTTGAAATGGGGAGTGGACTAGTTTAGGGCTCTGAGTGCACTACCTTTGGATGGGAATAAGAAGAGGAAATCACCGCTTGAGTGTTTATGGCAGGCTAGCTCAGGCTTTCCCAAATCTGTTGTCCCCACCTCTCTATGCCTCTGAGGTCGCCGCTACGGGGGTGGAAATGGTCAATGAGGGATTTAGCCAGGAAATGTTCTTGGGAAGAGAAGTGGAGGCCTCTCAAGGAAATGAGGTTGGCCGAGGGTAGAGGAGGGGATGCGAGGGAGGGAATGGTTGCAGGGGACACAAGGGATGAGGGGGCAGAGGAGATTAGGTTACCAGGGGAAGAGATGAGTGTAGAGCCAGGAGGAGAAGACTTGGATGAAGAAGAGAGGCGTGTGGTACAGGTGGATGCAGCAGGGCGAAATAGATGAATGTAGTTGTCACAGAGGGAAGGCAAAGGAGGGCATGGATGGACGTCCATACATGACATCAGAAATTGGTACCTGAAAACCATTACCTCTCAGCCTCATTATATGGGGGCCCTCTTGTTTGATGGCCATAGCAGCAATATGTTATAGCCTTGCATGTTGCTATCTTGGAAATCATTATTGATTTGGGAAAGCATATCTATAATAAATACAAATTCCTGTACGATTATGCTTGACATTTACTGAGTTTCGCAAATTCGTCTGATGCCATTATGTTTTCTATTTTTGTGCGCTTATGTTCTGCCATATTTTTTGAGCTTGTGCCAGTTGTGCACATGCTGATTTTTGTTTGTTTGTGAACAAGCATCCGTGTTTAAATAAATATGTGTGTTCCTTAATGACTGCATGGTAGATGTTTCTATGCCTTTCCATATGCATGCATGTGGGTGCACACAATCACAGGTATTCTGGTAGGCAAAGAGAGGAAATGTCCATTCACGGGAATCAAAGCTCGCAAATATTGCATTCTGGCATATATTTTTCATTTTGAAGCTGAATTTATGGAAACAAATCACAATTTAGGCTTTATTGGTTGAAAAAGAGAGAAGATAGATATCATTATTACTTTGTGTTATTCGCCTCTCTTTCCCTTCTATGCGTTGGATCTTAAGGAATAGACATGGAACAGTGACTAGGCAGGTTTTGTCATTTACATTGGGTCTTGGATTTGCAGGTTTAATACATAATGTTATCTTGTAATGACATTAGACACTTGCATATGGAGTACAGCTGCATTTGTCTGTGTAGTGAAGGTGTTTGCATATATGATGGGGTGCGGTTTGTATAAGGTGGCAGCCTTACTTGTAGAAGTAAGTTTGCGATGCTCTATACTGCCCATTTTAGTTAGATGGTGTAAATTTGACATTTATTTTAAAAAAATGTCAGTGGTAAATCTTTCAAGATAATGCCAAATCTACACCATTTAAATAAGATGGAGGATGTAGACTACTACAACATTATTTTTACAAGTAAGGTTGCAACCTTATAAGAACTTTTTCCTATGTGATATATACATCTATGCTTATTCAATTCATGTTATAGTAATTGATATATTTGATTATGTTAATGCACCAAAACGTTGTGCTGTATACAAAACTGTAATATGCAGCAGTTATGTACATACAAAATAGCTAAAGTCTCTGACCATTTCACAGGGGAAAAGTAGCTGAAGGTATAGACTTCGATCGCCACTATGGGAGGCTTGTTATCATGTTTGGGGTTCCTTTTCAATACACTTTGAGCAGGTTTTATTCTTCCTGGTGCTATTGTTGACAATAGTACGTACTTCATTTCATTCCTGGTAGTTATTGTTCATTTTGATAAAAGTGAGTTTCTTTCAGGGGTTAAGCATATAGTAGTAAATATATTTAGAGATAGTGTACCTTATATCCGTTAAAAGCAGTATAATATTCTTGTCAGTTTTTGTATCCGTGAAAATCATAAATATGTCTATCCCTGCCATAGGATGGTTTATAATTGCCTCTTTTCTTGCAGAATCCTGCTTGCCCGGTTAGAGTATTTGAGAGAGACATTTCAGATAAAGGAGGGGGACTTCCTGACTTTTGATGCTGTGGTATAAATCTGTCTTTGTTGTTTCCTGGGTCATTTACATGATTTTTTTCTTTTTTCCATGTGGTGGTTTGATGAATAACATCCATGTTCCATCTTCAATTATTCATTCATATTTCATGGATGGTATTGTTCCTAACTTTTTATCAGAGGCAAGCTGCACAATGTGTTGGCCGTGTTATTCGCTCCAAATCAGATTATGGCATGATGATTTTTGCTGACAAGAGGTGTGTTGTCTTATGTTTGCCTGTTGCACAAGCTAGCTGTTATGCGTATATAAACCCTTTTCAATGTGATCCGTCTAGGAACATGTTTTGATGGCATTTCATTGCTCTGACTTACAATGCTAGATATTCCTGGTGGAATATTCCAGGCTTCTGTATTTTTGCTCTGGTACATGGTATAATTGAGTGTATTCGAAATTCTTCATTTATGGTGGCAAATTTGGCACCACTATCATTCTTCGGAATTTCTTCCTTATCAATTTCATCAGGTCATCATCATCTGTGTAATCTTTGTTACTTTTCTGGCGACAGTGGATTGAACATTTCCACTCGTGTATGTATGCATGCATAATATAAAATTTTGCAGATATAGCCGTCATGATAAGCGATCAAAATTACCTGGATGGATATTATCACATCTTCATGATGCACACCTTAATCTGAGTACTGACATGGCTTTACATATTGCACGTGAGGTAATGTTTCTTCTATAACCTATTCAACCTTTGTCCAAAGTTGTTATCAAGATTTTTTGTAATATCTGTTTGGAATTTGTTGCAAGACTCTCAAGATTTGTTGCTGATTAAATTTGATTTGTGCGCTAGAAAATTCTGCCATAAGAGATGTGTTGAATTTGGTGCTTCTTGACCTCAATCCATTCCATGTGAAATTCGAAGAATCCAGAAAATAATTCTTTTGCTGATTCTATCTTATCGGATTCTTGGGGATATTTACTAAATTTAGGGTTCGAAACTCTAGCCCACTTGTGCAAATAATAAACTCTGCGAAGGATATAACAGGGTTCCCTAACGAACCTTACATTCTTGAGATACATTACCAATTTGGACCTTCATCTCGGGAAAATTCTTTTTAAGGGGGACTCCATTTTCTTTTCCTTAGAAGACAATAAAAGTTTGGACAAACTTTTGGGATGGCATGCAAAAAACCTTTTGAAATTTTCGTTACTGCCAAATGGATACAAAAAATTGAAAATTGTATTTCTTGTTCTCTTGAGAATCGTTGACAACCTCATCTTGGTCGTTAGTCCATTTATGAGACTGTTATCTTGGATGTTAGCCCATGTTTTTTATGCGAGACTCAGTGTTGCAAGCTTGCAGCTCTTATGAATCGGGAACTTCAGATTTTCATTGTTCATTGACTAAAGATATAAAGAAGGAACACCATGCTTCCATCTATATAAATCTGAACCCACAAATGTGATGTATCCTGTTGTTTAAAGCAAATTCTACGCTATGTTGTAACTTTCTCAAAATTTTGTACCTAGCATTGTACCCTCGTGGTTGGGAATTATATAATCTTCTGAGAACTGCTGATGATTGTGATTTCAGTTCCTGCGTAAAATGGCCCAACCATATGACAAATCTGGTGGCGGCAGTGGCAAGAAAACTCTTTTGTCACAAGAAGATTTAGAGAAAATGGAGAGGACCATGGGCATGATGTTTTGAAGGGAGCGACCGTCAACCTACCATGGGCGAGTTACTTAAGCATTTTATGCAGCTTCTTGAAAGACCGATGAAGGTGCGTGTTTTGGTGAGCAGAGAATGAAGTAGCAGCTGCAGTTAACCAGCTGGCCTCACCCAGCTTGATTTCAGATTCTCCAATTTGACGAAGAGTACTCCCGCTGTTAGTCACCGTGTAGATTCGTATTCTTCAATTTTGCTTAGCACTCTTGTTGTCAGCCAATTTTGTCTAGCGATTTATTTATACTCTAGTTCTCCTTTTCTTGATTTAGATTGGTTTTTTCGCTCTCAAATATGTAAATTCCGATGTTTTGATGCCTATTGCATGGCAAACCCAAGCTGAGTTGAGGCTGTAGCATATATATTATATATATATGTGGACACGGTTTTTATGAGTCCATGTAGAAACGAGTCACCTCTTAAAAATCTGTTTTTGAGAAGGATTTTGGGATTTAATTTTCAATGACGTGATCTTTAACATGGAAATCATGAATATGAAAAAATAAATGAATTTTGAAAATTAAAAATAATAATATTAAGAAATCATTTAGACAGGTAGTTTCAATTGTTTTTAGATAGATCATCCATTTGCATCCATCTTTAAGATGAATGCTTTAAACCTCGTGGATTGCAAAAATATAAATGTTGGATTGTGTCATATGAAACAATTTTTCCATTTATATATATGGGGAATGATTTCATACAAGAGTTATATAGTAATATAATTAAGCAATATTCAAAAATTATGTTAGGATCATTTGTTTAACCCCTAACTTTTAAATACACACTAGCTTTATTTCAATGAACAATCATAAAAATTAAATAAAAAAATAAAAAATTAAATCGAATACGCATCCTAGAATCTATGTATTTGGGAAGTGATTTCATGTCATTATATCATTATAAAACCACACTTTTAAAAAATCATATGTTTGGCATTTGTATGCTCCAGAACTGCACAAACTTTCTTTTCAGCTTAATAATCAATCCCCAAAAAAGTAAAACTTAATTTGCTCTCTAAATATGATCAAAACAAGACCCCTCCTACAATGGCTTTAAGACTATTCATTTGATAAATTTCAAAATCTAGATCTTTACAAAATTATGTTTTTATTTCTAACCTTTTTCAAGTAATAACAATAAATTTTTAAAGAAATTGAGAAGGAAAAAATTCCTACCTAGATCTAATCATCTTATCAAAATATATGGCTTATGTTAATTGGGCTAATAGAACATTTTTTAGATTGTGTTTTCATATTTTACTTTTTATGAATATTGAAAAGAATGTATATTTAAAAATTGAGGTAAAACAAATAGCCTTAACATAGTTTTTGAAAATCGTTTTATCATATTACAATAGAACTCGCATAAAATCATTCATATATATGATCAAAATGAACGATATATTCAGTCAAAATGAACCCCAAAAAAAAAAGTTAAATTTGAAAAACAAAGAATATGGTCAAAATGAACCCCAAAATGAACCCCAACAAAAAATTTCAATTTGATAAACAAAGAATTTGGTCCAAAAAAAAAAAAAGTTCAATTTGAAAAACAAAGAAAAATTTTTTAACATAAAATTTTACAAATTATAAACAATTTTTTCCAGAAAAATGGACACTCTTTCGGAAACCCTAGACCCGATAAGTTCTTAACCTAAACCATACAACAATGCGTTTAGATCCATCGAATTAGATCTATAATAACGTGAAGGGAAGAATTCTGTCAAACCAAATTTGAACATATTTGGTTCAAATCACCGTAGAAATCAATAACTCGCCGGGTTTTCAATAACCCTAAAATTATATGCACCCTAAATTCAAGCGAAAAATCAAAATAAAAAAATATAAATAAAGATTTATGGATACTTCATGTGAAGAAATCAGGCTCCGTGTATATCAAAACACCCTATCGTTTTGTTTTGTTGAAATATAGAGAAATCAGTCTCCGTGCATATCAAAAACCCTATCGTTTTGTTTTGTTGAAATATAGAGAAATCTGTCGGACAGATTCCAAAAACAGGTGATAGAGCACCCAAAAATTTTCAAGCCAAATCCATAACAATACGGGAAAAATCAATCAAATAGAGCCTATAATCTTGTAGAAGGCTGGATTACGGCCATTTAGAGCCAAATTTGAGAAAATTAGTTGAAGAATGGAGCAGAATGATGCTATTCAGCAAATTCCTAGACAACAAAAAAACCCAAACTTTCAGCCAAAAAAGGGTAATTTTCGGTAAGAAATTAAGGGAAGACGACAGATGATTTTGGCATCCAATCTATGGCTTCTTATACCTCAGATAAATCATTTCAATGAACTATTGATACGTAAAAGTTGGGGAAAGAGAGAACTCCCAAAGGAAAATAAGAAGTTACCTTTGATGTGAAAAAATGACCGGATGATTCCCATTGAGTCACTGTACAGTGGATCGAACCAGTGATCCAAGGAGAGACTTGACCGGTTCTCGATACCATTGGGGAATTGGCCAGGTCTATAAGGATACCCAATTCAAATCGGGGGATTGATCAGTTATAATGTTAGTTCACTATCCAAAGCGAGAGTTCTATTCTTTTCCCCACGTCTTTCTTCCTATAGAACTTGAGCGGTTATGCAATTGCTTGGATCAAACCAGATATACAAAATAAAGGGGCTTGCAAGATGGAAAAAGATCTAATACAGCTACCCATGAAGACTTGGACATTGATTAAGCCAAACAGCACTTCCCTTGGGAGGAATAATTACAATTAGGAGTTTAAAACCTCCAATAATATCACAGTAGCCAAAAATTGGGAGAGCTCATTGTGTGTGTGTGAAGGGAAGTATAACCGATAAAAGTAACAAGGTGCAAGTCTTCTGGCTGATTTGCTCGTGACGTAGCAAGAGAAGAAAAAACGTTGAATACAAAATATGAAAAATGACAACAAAAAAAAAAACTGCAACAAACACAGGTATTTACTCTAAATATGAAAGAGGAAGGAGCAAAGAGCTGCAATCCCTACCTACTCTCAAGACATGTTCACAGTTCCGTGAAAAGGATCTCCAAAAAGAAAAGAAGGAAAATTGCACACAACATAGGGTTCAGTCAAGTAAGAAGCAGCTAAAAGCCAGTAAAAAGAGAGAAGACATGACAACCTTTGAGGATGTAGCAGCGTTGTACGGTTGGAAGCTTCCAGTTGATGTGTTGGTGGTGAGGACTGCAACAATCCAGTTGTCCTCCGAAGCAATTCCAGCACCCACATATTTGGTGTCATTGAGATAGCGAGAGTACTGCTGGGAGTGCGTGAAGTTGGAGAGGACGAGTGCCGGAACGAGTTTGGGAACACAGACAAGCATTATGACACCGTCCCTGGTGTTTGACACGTTGAGATGGCAATCGGCTAAGAAATCAGGGTAATCACTGAATTGAGTCTCTGTTCCAGGGACCGTGTTAGCACCGGTGGTGTTGGTGCAAGGTTGGTCTTCATATTTCCCAGCAATTTTGTCGGCTAAGCAAGCTGCATTTTCATTACTCGATAGGGCAGGGAGGTTCGAGGATGACCTGTAGCTGTTAAGACTGTTAAATAGCTGCTTATCTTCAGAATCTGCATGCAAAACAAGAGAATAGATTGGTTGAGGAGATGAAAACATTCTAACATTCCGGAAAAAACAGCACGACCCCAGGACTTCAATTCTGAATCTAAGTACCAAGTAAACATTGAGTGCTTTCTTCTTTTGATTCATGAGCATGAAATCTGAACAGGTGCTAAGCTAGGCCACTAAACTAGGTGAATGACATGGCAGATAGATTGGCTATAGTAGGTGCAATGGGAGATAGCCTAGAAATTCAAAGGCCATTTTAATGCCACTCATTGCTAACTTGACCTACACGCATTGATCACCCACAGCTTTGGCATCCGCACCAGCTCTTCACAACCTGAGTTACTAATCCTCCTGCTCTGCTTTATCCTCCCCACTGCATTTTTGCAGGGTCGCAGCATCTTTGTTTTTATCAAGGTTGGCTGTCTAAAGACTAGTTCATCCTACTCTTTCTTCTCTCCCCCCCCTCCCCAGTTCTCTTCTTGGGCCTTCTCTTGCCTTCAGCAGTCTTGGGGTCCATTTTTGTACAAAACACCATATATCAACTTCTCTTAAAAGAAAAAGAAATCTGGACCATCTGCCTTCTTGTATGAGTAGAACATCACAAGACAGTCAGGCTAGAGGGCCTCAAGGTAAGAAATAAATCGTTCACCTTTGTTTTCCTATCTTTTACATGTGGAGCAAATTGTCCAAGAAGTTTCTTGAACGAATTAGAAAACGAAAACTTAACTGGTTTTCAAGGTTAATTATAAGTCACCTTGCTCTATTGACACAAATTCCCTAGAACCGTTGATAGAAGAGGAGTACCTATCTCCTAAACAATTAACAGAAAATTAAAGGATTGGTATATCACATCAAGTAGTTCATCCTAGACAACTTCAAAATAAACACAGAAATATCAAAGGTGCCATTTGTTTAGATATTGACATGAAAAAAATATGAGTATCATCGATTGGATGGATGGACCCCTAAAGGAAACCCTAATCATGCAAGCACAAAGAGCTGCAACAATGAAGTGACTTAATTAAAATTAACATGCATGATAAAAATGCCTCTAATAAAAAATTTGTATACACAATTATATGAGCCGTCTAAGTTTCCTCTCAAGCCATTGCAAATAAGAAGCATCAATTTGCTAGAAATACAATCCATGCCTCACTCTGGGCATAGCAGAGCTAAGCACGTCTCTATCATAAGCTCTCTCACTAAAGTTTATGGATCATATCATAGTAGCAATCAAGCATATTAGCCATTAGGTCAAAGGTATAATTGATAATGGGGCTCATATCATCATCATCATAGCCTTTTTCTCAAGTAATTGAGGTCGGCTATGAACCTGGTCCGCCATTATGCTCTTTTTAAGGCCATACCCTCTGAGGGTCTCCATATCTTTTCGGACTAATTCCACTCACGTCCTTTTGGGTGTACCCCTAAGCCTTATCAATCCTTCCGCTTGAACTAACATGCACCTCCACCTCCTAACAGGTGTTGTCCGCCCAACATTCTGCCTCATAAAGCAAAGCTGCTCTTCCAGTTATCCTATAGAACAGTATTTTCACTTTCTACCTGGACAAATGCAAAATCCTTGAACATGTTGCAGTGAACTATGTTTGTAACATTGCAAAACCTTCATTTTTTATTTTCTTATCCCTGTGATAACAAATGAAAAAGGGCATATGCACATTGCACACGAGAACAGACCTGGAATTTGTCAGATCAAGTGATCTATCGATGCACAAAGCACGCAACAGATAATAATTGTGCAGTCTGGATCATATCAAAGATGGCAGCTGTCCAATTAGGCATAGATTGTGATAAATGAGACTAAGCCTGGCACAGCGAAGAATGAAGAGCATCATGGAGTATGTATAGCAAGGGAAGATCGTGCTAGTTCATAAACTGTGGGCCAGGTACAGAAATTATAAAGGGGACGGTTGATTTCCACTGTCGCCGTGCATCAGTGGATGTTTTGGGAGAATATAAGGGGTAATGGGATATGAAATCAAATCATAATCATCGTTAAGGCCCAAGATGAATCAAATGTAAGTCCGTCCGTCTCCCTCCCATTATTAGAATGCATTCCCTCTTAAGAGTGTTGATACCAGATATCTGGTAGTTCTCGTTCAATACCATAATGCATTCCCATTATTAGAACGT